AGAACAAGAAAAGTCTTTCAATATGCAGTAATTAATTAAGAAAAGTAATGAAAAATTGATAAAAGAAGTTAAACAACTATTAACTATTACTACTACCAACCTGCGTACTAATAATAATAGTCATCCAGTACACAATAATAAAAATTAGAGAAATAGTAATAACAATGGTAGTTAAGTATGTTACAATTGTAACCAACTTGAACATATTGCAAAAAATTGTAGAACACGAAATAGCCAAGGTCAGTGTTATCATGGGACATTGATAAGACACTGATGGGACGCTGATGGGACATAGATGGGACAGATAGGACCTTTGAGACATAGTGTGGGATAGGTTAGAACATATAGCTGGGACAACAAATCTCTGGAACATCAAAAATGTACATCACTGGCCAAGGTGATAATTGAAATAATTTCCAACAGAATAAAAATAATACGTATCAGAATGAAAATAGATATTTTACCTATAAATGAAGGGGACACATAGCTAAAAATTATAATGTCATACCTACAGGATCCTGTTCATACTGCTACCAGCTTAAACATTAAGAAAACTTATATCCGATCAAATCAGTATTAAATTTTCATAATAGGAGGGCGTCTAAAACGGAGTAATCACGTAAAATCTTACTTGATTGTAAGGATGATTGTGATTGGTCTATTGGATATCAATAGGGGGTAATAGTCGATTTGTTATACAAAAATAAAAAAAATCAGCCACATATATATAAAGCATAAAAAGCATATAATAATAAAGTGTTCTATTTTCTCTATTATTATAAAGAACATAAAGCGTTTTATTTTTATTATTATTTTTTGATAAAATTATAAAAATGAAAGTTGTCTTTTTTTTTAATATAACATACTACAAGTAGGAAAAAGGAAAAAAAAAAGAGGAGAAAAAAGGAGAGGAAAAAAGGAGAAGAAAAGAAGAAAAAGAAGAAAAAGGAGGAGAAAGAAGAAAAAGGAGAAGAAAAATAAAGAAAGAATACTTTTAATGTAATATGTATACACCTTCTTTAGCTGTCTTTTTGAATTTTGCCGCTGCTTCAAAATTTGCAACTTCTTCGGCTGCTTCTTCAAAATTTACAGTTTCTTCAGTAACTTCTTTAACGGCTTCTTCAACTTCTTTGGCAGCTTCTTTAACAGCTTCTTCAGCGGCTTTTTGATGACTTCTTTGACAGTTTCTTCAATGGCTTCTTCGGTGGCTTCAAATTTTGCAATCTCTTCAGTTATTACATCATCAGCAAACTTCACACCAGACGAAAAATGGAATCTTCTCTTCAATATAAATGATTCTTTGGAAATTTCAATGGAGGATTTTGAAGAAAATTGGTGGCTATTAGTTTCAAATATCTGGACACAATGGAATTCATATAAATTAGAAAATGGTAATTATTGAAAAATTTTCACCTGCCGTTTTATAAAGCATCAGGAATCAAGTACATGACAAAAGGAAAATATTTTAAATAAAAGCGCAAAATAACGAGAATATGAGCATCTGGACTCTGTAAAGCTAAAACTAAAGTTTTATAGTTGGTCTCGTTGAAAATGGTTAAAATTGAACGCTATAAAGACTCTTCTAATCATAAGCATTCGTTGTTAGAATCTGATAGAATCAAACATTCTCAAGCTATTCGAGTTTTAGTAGAAAAAGAAGCAGTTAAAAATTATTTACCTCTGGCGATTACTGTTACCATTAAAGGATATGCAATAACTAAGTTAAATTTTAGTACAAGTATGTAAGAACTAAGTTGAAAGGAAGTAACAAATATTAAATATAAGGTTTGTAGACCTGTGGAAGCCCATCTTATTAGCGATTCTGATTTAAAGACAGACATTTCACAATCTATATCCTATTTAATTGAAAAAGGATATTGTGTTGAAGACTATAATATTTTCCACTGATCTACTAAGGGTATTGTATTTGCGCATTCCAAGCAACTTGAGAAACTTCAGTGTCATAGATGGTTGACACTTATCGATTTAACTCATAAAACTAATAGATATGACTGGCGTCTCTTTACTTTATATATTTGTGATACTTATGAATGCTGGAATGTAGATGTTCACTTCTTAGTGAGTAGTGAAGACTGTGATATTATTTCAGAAGCACTAAAAATAGATCATAATAGCTATTGTCATTGGTCTCCCATTATATCCTTTCAGACTAAAGTAGTATTGAGGCCTAAAAGCATTAAAAAGACTTTTTCAGATATAAATGCCAACGAGCAAGAATGTAAAGTAATTCTTTGTGTTGTTCATATTATGAGAATGTATATGACAAAAATTTACGATAAAAAAACTTGTGATATTATGATTGCGACAATGTAAAAAGAATAAAGATTAGTTGCGAAAGGCTTGTGCAAGACGCTATCAATAACTGTACCATTTCTGCTATTCAGAACTACATCAAAAGAAACTATATGAAAAATACACAGAAATGGGCATTGTGAACGCATCAACATTCTTCTTTGCTTTTGCAAGTTACTTTAACGAATCTATTAAAATCTTATTACAGTGAATTGAAAAGTTTAACATCTTCACTATATGGGTTAATTGGTGTGCCTATATCTCATTTTACACTATCTTTATTACTTATTATCCACCCTTTCACTTATTTTATTTTTTTGTTTTATTTATTTGTAATTTTTACATATATTATGCATGTATATAATAATTTTAATAATAAAAGTTTAAAAAAAATTTATTTATTTTATATGTTATCTTAGGTGCTGTTAATAATATCATTACTTTGGATTGTAAAAAACGATCTGATTCTAAAAGAGTTACCTTTGATTTTTGTATTAAAAAAATCTCTGCTTATGACGTAGATGACAATATTATCAAAGAGATCTATAAATTTCTCTTCTTAATTTAGCATTTACTTATTAAAGAGGCTTGTGCTGTAATGGATAGAATTGAGAAAGGCAAATGTACATCAGGTTTAACGTCGCTTGATTGTTACTGCTTGTTTTGCAATCAATACTTATTGCTATGCAAGCATATTTTTCACAAACATATGTATGGCAATATGAAATTACTGACTGCAGATGTTTAGAAAATGTTTCAAAGAATATTTGAAAAAAGTAGTTATGAAGTATATGAAAGTCGTGAATCAGTAATAGAATTCGTGCAAACAGAACAACAAAAAAAATTGAAATTTAAAACTTATCATAGCTGAATTAACTGAAAGAATCCGTGATAGATATTGGAGTGTTGAAAAGATGGGTGATGTTGAGAGGATAGAAAATTTTATCTCTATGTTAGAAACATCTTTGAATTCAGTTATTTTGCAATTTAATAAATCAAATGAAAAAATTGTCTAATTGAATAAATAAAGAATTTTTTTAAAATTTTATTTTTATTTTAATTTACAATTCAAAAAGATCTATATTGCATTTATATAGTAATCGGCAGAACAATTTTATAAATTATAATAGCAAATTTTAAATATTAAATCGGATGATTTTATTAAATTTACTATATAAAATAATCAGACCAATCACAATCATCCTTACGATTACGTGAGATTTTATGTGACTACTTCGCTTTAGACGCCCTCTGAACTTGATAATCCATGAATTTCTGTATAATTTTCTAGAAAATTCTTTATTACTTCTGTAACATTTTTATCAATAATTATTTTAGTTTTCCATTAAAGCATTCTTTTAATATTATCATGAACTCTTAGTAAAGAACCATTATTTATCAAATGATTTCTAATATTTTTAAAATAAGTTTTACTAATTTTTAACATATTAAGATAAATTTCTTGACAAAAGAGTGTATTGTGATCCCAATGTAGAAAGTTCTTTTATTAGATCTAGTTTTCTTTTTAAAGCGTCTACTAGTGTTTATTAATCCACCATCCATTGCTTTAAATTAGGCCATTAAAAATATGTCTTATTCTGTTTAGAAAAAGCTTGAAATGATTCCCTTAATTTTACAAATTCTTCTTTGGAAATTCTTGAAAAACAACCACAATCACAGCCTTTTTCTAAAAAATCAATTGTTTTTTTGATATTCATTAGAACCATTATACTTATTATTACTTTTCATATACACCTATCTCTATATATATAATTTTATGTTCACTTTGTAACTTTATTTCAATTGATCTGCTAAAATAATTTCACTAAAATTTAAAACAACATCAGAAAGAAAGGGAAAAAATTAATATATTTTTAAATTCACATTGTGTTTATTGTTTAAATAACAATAATCAAGAATCATTTTGATAATATTTTTCAGTTGAAAAATTCATAGACATGATTAACAAACTAAATAATAAAAAAACATTAATTTGGAATATTATTGATCTAAAATCTTTTTATTTGATTTATTTAATTAAAAAAAGTTTAAAATCTATTAACATTTAACAATATTGACTGAAATTTCCATCCTATAAATCTGATTATAATTTTGTATTATGCTATCACTAATAAAGTGAAATTATATAAAAGATTTACTCTATTTTATATTTGTTGAGGAAAAATCATATTTTTCAACTTTTCAAGCCATTTATCATCATGTTCTTTGTCAAGAACCTTACCATCTTCAACACCAACTGGCCGTGTAATATATATATATATGATGATGATGATTAACTATTTATTGAATTATTATTTTGGACTTTTTTTATGTAATAAAATTCATCAAATAAACTGTGTAATCAAATTTAAAATGTGCGCAAATTACATTGTTACATGGTGAAATTATATTAATATTTATTTTTGATTTAGTATGGTTTAGGGTGGCCCATTTTCTGCGGCGTTAAACTCAAATTATGCTTGCTTTATATAGTTAAATATGCAAGTATTTTTTATAAAATATGCTTCGTTTTTTTATTTTTTTCAAAAAATGCTAAAAAATGCGATAATTTCATCAAATTACTTTATTTAAAATCTATTATGATTATACTGCAATTACAAATTTTGATTATTAAAATACAAAAAATTCAAAGCAACAATTGAATTTTCTGAATTTTCTGAAAGAGCATGTCGTCTGAAAAACTTCGTTCTACATCTACTCGAGATACCGGAAGTCAAATTATTCCTAAGGCTAGTCTTGCTAAATTCGGTAAGCTTTTTATTTTGTTTTTCCAATAGATATTTAAATCAAACTCAACATCATCAAACTCTTCTTTCAAACTACAATAAATTCTCCATTCTTGCATAATTTGATCTGTTGGATTTTAAATTCTTGAATTTCCGAATATAAACTAATATTATGCACACGATCTTAATCTTCTTAATCTATAGATCCTAACTGCGGATATGCTATATGATATGCGAAAAATGCGGACCAATTAATCTGCGACAGCATATGCTATTGCGAAAAATCGTGATTTCTGCGCATATTATGCCGCCGCAGAAAATGGGCCACCCTAGTTTGGTTATCTACGTAATAGAGTACACGTGTTGACGCGTAATTTAAATAGACAACTTTTGTTTTGTTTTCAAAATTTCTCATCCAAGTATATACCATTATATCAGGAAAGTATGCATAGCATTTTTTTGTTCAAATGTTGGCAAACTACAATATCCTACGATGCGTGGGAACTGCTTTACTTACTGTGGACCTCCCTTGATCGATGTTTGGAAAGTAGGCGTCATGCTCCTGCTAGGATCAGCTTAGCACATGAGATTGGCAACTTCTTTCCAGAGATCATTATGTCTATGCCAACAATTTTCTTTTTAAAAGAAAAATCATTGACATTAACTTTGTAGTAACAATGTTTATTATTATTTAGCATGGAAATTTCAAATGAGATCAGCAAGTACTTTAGGGAAACAACTATTCGAAATGGTGCATCATAGATTGTCTATATTCTATTGAAAAAAATTGTACAATGGTCACATCTGAAAATCGTGAGGATATCATAACTGAATTTAAACATCAGCTTCAATTAGCAAATACACATTGTTCAATAAATAAAAAGGCACGGGATAAAGCTACAAAACTTTATAATGACGTGGAAAGAATTTTCCAATTCAAAGAGGCTACAGCAGTTTTCGACAGAATGGATAAAAGGGTAAGAAATAATTTATTAATTTGTATTATTGATTTACTTGCAAAAAAACTAACTGGTTTACAGGTGAATGAAAATTTATTTGAAACAAAAACTAATCTATATGGATCAGAAGTTGCAGTACAAATGATGGACATAAAATTGAGCTCTCTTCGATCAGAAATACCTTCTTCAGTAAGCAGTCATTCCACAACATTATTCACTGGACATGACTCTGAAAATTCCTTCAATGTTAAAAAAACATCAAATGAAGCTGAGGCTTGTTTATGTTACTATCTTGACACAAATTGTACTTTGGGTTACTTAATAAGTTTTTCTTATTCTCAAGCATAACTCCATGAATCCTAATAACAACCAAATTGTTTATGAAAATATACAAATATTAAGCACTCATGACCAAGATGTAAATAATCCGGAATTTGATAGTATTATTGTGGATAAGGTATTTATAATGAGGACAGTTTTTTTATTTTAACATAATCTTTTAAACAATATTTAAATTTTCATTACTATTGCAGATATCTGATTTGATATTTTCCAATTTAAATCTTGAGGAAATTTGGGATAAAGTTATGGAAAGATTAAAGCAAGAAATTTGCGAGTGCAGTATGTTATAGTAATGATTTGTAACTGTATGCTTTTAGCAAATAATATTATTCTCTGCTCAATTACTAAAAAAAAAATCCAGGCCCATTGAATCACGAATTGTAGATCTCTCAAATTGGAAGAAAGTCGATTGGGGCAGAATACTAAAAACATCAGATTATGCTCAATTGTTTAACAGATCAAAGAAGAAATTATGTAAGGATTTAATTGACAAGGAAGCACAAAATTTGTTACATGAGGGATGTGGCCAAATAGTAGGTTATTTTTTTTTTGTTCATAGTTACCTTGCTTATAACATATTTATAGATTATTATTGTATTTTTATAGAGATCTTTAAATGATTTAAAATTATGGAAAGACAAATTCTCAATTTTAAAATCTGAAGATGCCCAATTGACTGCTGGAATTATTGAATTTTTGTAAGTTATGGTTGAATATTTGAATGGAACAAAATGGAAGGTATTGGATTGTTTTTTATGGATACTAACTGAAATTTTATTTAGCCATCTCTGTTTACGGAGGAAAATAAACATTCTTGTAATGCAACATCGGGAAAGAGATTACATTGTCAAGATACTAAGCCCAATTATTGGATTCATATTTGAAGAATTTGATATTGGTACTTTTGAGCTTAACTGGTAGGTGTCAAAATTTTACATTGCAATGATCTTCCAATAATATCAACTTTTAAAATTTTTTAGGATTGAAAAAGACTCTCATAGTGTTACATGTAGAAAGCGAAAATTTGTACACGAAGAATATATGGAATTAGAACCACCATCGGAAAAGATGGATTTAATAATATCATTACGTTCTTACAAAGTCGAATTATTGGCACTTGAAGCAGGGAATACTGAAGGTCCCATGGATGATACCAAGTTCCGGCAAGATCATTCTAAATCAAAATAGTAATGAAGGACTGTCTTGATTCCTTTTGGAATAAATTACATTTTAAAAAAAATGAACTTGAAGAGGTCTTTGTAATGGGCATTCAGATTACAGGTATGTGTAAAAATGCATCTTATTTATTTAGTGCAATTTAAGTTTTTTCTGCTAAAATTTTTCTTATTTGGTATAGGCACAAGGTGGACGATCTATTCCCTTGTATACAACAAAAAATTTTTATTTTTTTACTGAGATGGTGACATTGACGTTGCCAACAATTTTATCTGAGATGGAAGACCTTTTGCCAGATTTCTTGGAAAATCTTCTAGTATTACGGGTATTTATGGTTATACATGATATATTTTCATTTCCAATCATTCCACCAGTGTTCACATTATTTTGATTTTTATTATTTAGCATACACAAATAGAATTGGTTGCAAAGATTCGAAAATATTCTCAAAAAAGTCTCTCTACTCCGTCTCCACCCTCATCACCATTGCATGAAACTACAGAGTCTCCTTTGAAAAAACAAAAACAAAAGAAAGATCCTTTTTGTATCTTAGACAACTTATACTAAATAAATAAATTAGTATGTCATTTGACAGCTCATTGTCATATATAATTTCAATGCACATATTTTTTCATATCTAATATTTATTGTAAATTTTAGTCTTGTGGATGGTTAAATAACTTAACGTGTACATATATTATTATACATAAACAACAGAAGCATATAAACTTTACTCAATAAGGACCAATTCTCAAAGTTGCTCCGAAATATTTGGTTTTGTAATACCAGACATATCTTAAAATGATCACAATTTTTCTTAGTGCTTGCTGTATTGGTGAAATAATTATGTATGCATTACAATTTGTAACATTGATCACTTTTGAAGAAAAATTTTTTTTTTTCAATTATAATTTTCACTATGCCAGGGAGCAAGATTTCTTTAATAATTTTTTTTTGACGTCACTCTGTATGTTTAATAGATAAATTAGTCAATTGATCTAAATATGTCAATAATTGTGGATTAAATAATTATGATTTTGAACGAACTTAGAGGGTAATTTTATGATGTTTTTGATTATTGCTGTGATGTTATCATTATCATTAACATTACCATTGCTGTTACTTCCACTATCACTATCATTATTATCATTAGTACAGTCGGACCTCTATATAATCACCAGGTCGGTTACACTTCTGAGTGATGATTATATAGAGGTGTGATTATAACTAATTAAACCTCTATATAATCACAGCTATAATTAAAAATCATTTATAGTGATTATATAGAATATTTATAAATTTATTACAATATAT